GCTCGCTGCAGAGCCATTTGAGGAGAGCTGAGCTCCAGCGAGGGGGAGCATGAGCTGTCGCTCCTCCTCCTGTAAGCTGTTTTAATGCGTACACCAACCCCACCCCTAACCCTACCCCCAGTGACATCACGCGTAGAAGAAGTGCAAAAAAGGTGGAGCTCAAGCTTAAGCTCCCCCCCGCTGGAGCTCAGCTCTCCTCAAATGGCTCTGCAGCGAGCACCACTTGTAATATTAACACAATTGTAGACACCTGTTGTTGCATATTTCTGCTGTGTGATTGGCTCTTAGAATCAATATTGAGTAAAAATGTCCAGAAGCTAATAATCGTTATCAACATAAATTGTATTGCGATATGATATCGGCCTAGCCCTAAAGCCTCCTTTCCACTGCACACGACAAACCGGAACAAAACAAAACAAACTAACAAAAACACTTCTGTTTATAAATGTAAGAAATATAGTAATAAAAATAGAACTTTTTAATGTTGTCTCCACATTCCCTCCAATATTTTCAGCGGTCTATGAGTTTCCGATATTTATTCATTCATTCATTCAACCACTGTGAACGCACAGAGAATAATGGCTCTTGCTTTTGCACTCCTTTATTTCGGACATTGCAAGAACAGCTTCTCTCCCATGGTGCACGTCAGAACTGAAAATACTGTGCGACTGCCACAAGGGGGCGTATTCCGACAGTCATGTCCAAATGTTGTGTGCAGTGGAAAGGCGGCTTAACTTAAACCTGAGCGTTCTGTACAACACTGTACAAACTGAGCTACTGATCTGATCATTCCAGAAAAGTTGCACACATGGACACAGAATAGTGAGGTGATTGTAATTGATTACAAATTATAATTAATGTCAATACTATGGCTCTTTAAAGACCATTAGTGTGAAAAGGAACAAACATTGTTGGTATAATACTATGCCACAGCAATCATTTTATCTATAAATGCAGTCAACTGTACAATATTTTGAAGTACGTTTTTGTGTTTTCCACAAAAATGTAGGCTAAAGTACATATTTCCAACCTTCATTCATTCATTAATTGTCCTTCGGTTTAGTCCCTTTATCAATCTTATCCAGCGTATGTTTTACACAGCAAATTCTGTTCCTGCAAACCAGTAGGAAATATCCATACACGCTCACACACACACTCATACACTACGGCCAATTTAGTTAATTCAGTTCACATATACTGCATGTCTTTCGACTGTAGGGGAAATTTAGAGCACCCGGAGGGAGCCCACGCCAACACGGGGAGAACATGCAAACTCCACACAGAAATGCCAATTGACTCAGCTGAGACTCAAACCAGCGACCTAGCATAACATTTTATAATGTAAATGGGCAAAAAGGGACGCCATTAATGGACAAAGCAGTGGACAGCCCACATCTGCAATGCTGATTTGGTTATTCTATAATCCCTTAGCTCCATTATCAAAGTGGTTTGGTATTATTACCTCCACAACAGTCTTGAGTGGCTGCGTTTAAAAAAATGGCTGTTTATTGCGTTTTGTCTTCACCTTCAGAGGCACAAGTAGTTTATTATATAAGAAAAAGGCCCAGCGTGACTTCTCCTTCTGTGGCTAATTCTTCTTTTTTGATATTTGATGCCAGTTTATGCCTTACATTATCCATGCTAATATTGATGCTAACTTTAGACTTTGTGTTTAATGTTTTATGTGATATTAATTTTTTTTTTTTACATAAGTTTAATTTGCATCTTTGGATGGAAACATAGCTAGTGAGTGTATGGAGACTCACGCTTCAAACCTTTTTGTAACAGCCGCTGCTTGAGATCTTTATAAGAGGAACGAGGGTTTAATTAGCGCTGATGCTAATAATGAGGATGAGTGTTTAACATGGCACTGCAGTTGAAACTCCCTCTACCTCCTCACGTGGTGAAGCAGGAGAGGCAATAAACATGGTGGATGTGATATCAAAAGAGGTCGTTTTCTCTTTTAATTAGATTTTTTTTTCTTGGTTTGTGTGTGAACGGGTTTATTTGCTTTCTTTGCTTTTCTGTTGTCTGCGTCCTCAAAAAACAGCTTTCTCCTCCTATACACTTTAGCAGAGAACTAATTTCATTTCCTTCGGCCCAGTCTGAAAAACTGTTTTCATCAGATAGCTGAGGCGTTTTGTCTTCCACACTGATGTATTCATCAATCTCAATGTGAGATTTTTTTTTTTTTGGTGCAACCTTAAGTCACATCCAAATCCTAATGCATCTGTTTATTACAGAGAGAAAATTGAAAATCTGTCTGTGTGATATGCTGGGATTTTTTTTGCACGGTGTGGACATAAAACAAGCTGGCAGATATTAATGGTTCCTCTCTTGACCTCATTCGCTGGCGCGAGAGATAGGCTGAAGGGGCCGGAAATGATGAAAAATGAAACGGTGCAACATCTGCTGCATAAACAGCACTTCTTTTACTCTCACATTCATACACACATATATGTATTTATATATGCATCTATATATATATATATATATATATATATATATATATATATATATATATAATATATATATATTTTTTTTTACTACTGGTATACCAGCATGGAGAGAATTGCTAAAATGTTCATGTTGATGCTGCATTATACTCATAAATTAAATTCTGTACCAACAAAAACATGATTGCAAAATTTAGACATCTGGAAAAAACATAAAAGATTTGTGCCTGAAAAAATTCTATTAGATTAAATGGTGCATATTTTATGCTAATTCTAATGTTTTAAAGTGATTAGCTACACGTTGGCGGATGTTTGATTATGTTGTCTTGTGTTGTTAGATGATCTGGACGACGACCTGCTGCGTGAACATGAGCAGGAGTTGGAGAGACTGAAGCAGAATTACACTGAATACAAAGAGCTGTACGACGCCGTTTCCACCTGGAGCAGCAACTGGACTCTCTACCAGGAGCTGGAGGTGATCAATTACAACAGAACGATCAATATTGAACATTTTTGCTAGCAGATAATATTTAGTTTGTTTACATCCATGAAGGGTCAAAACACTTTAAGAGCATCAACTCTTTTTCTCAGTGTTTGAAATAGTTAAAGTATTGGGACGGTGAGAGGGTGTGTCAGAAACCAAATGCACATTATCATGTCAAATTCAGCTCAGGGGTATTAATTCAAATCCAGTTCCAAAAGATAAAGACCCGGATTGGTTTCGCGACACAGTAAAGCATTGTTTTGACATTTGTCAAACCAAACTCTTTAAGTACACTGTTAATGGCTCAAAGTAGACATTATTCACTGGCATTATGCAGATTTGTTACAAACTTACATAGGCTTGTAGAAAGTAAGGCTTGAATTACTGACTGGGTTGCCTACGGGTAATGGAATTTCTGCAATATCAAGGAGCTTTAGAGGAGCAATTCCAGACATTTAAAGTCGTAGAATATCACAGATTTTCGTCTTATTCATTAAATTGTCACTTTTCAACGTATTTTTTATGTAGCGCTGTTTCATGCCTATTATTATGGTTAAGTTATTTTCAGCTCCATTTTCTTTTATGCTAATCAATCAGCAAACCCCTTCAGTCAAATGCAGTCGCCAGGCTGCACCTATTAAAGGTTCCATGACGTGAAAATAAAGTTTTTTTTTTTTTTTTTTTTTTTTTTTTTTTTAGATGTTAGTATCAGTATTTAGTTTTTTGAATATCTATAATCTAGTACGACCCAAACAGTGACCAAATTCACATTGAGAAGATTTAAAACCGATATAAACATCTTAAGCTTGCAGGTCAGTGTATCTTTTGGGTCAATGTATCTTTCGGTCATTGGATTTTCATTTTAAAAACGGATATTGAAAAACAAAAAATCAAGTAATTTTTTTTTTTTTTTTTTTGAAAAAATTTAAAAAATTGAAATTCAAAGCGTTTTATATATATATATATATATATATATATATATATATATATATATATATATATATATATATATTTTTTTTTTTTTTTTTTTAAAAAAAAAAAAAAAAAAAAAAAAATATTTTTTTTTTTTTTTTTTTTTTTTTATATTTAAAAAAAAAAAAAAAAAAAAAAAAAAAA